TGATTGCTCAGGGCAGGGAGGGACCTGTTGTTCTCTGCCCCTAGGTTCACTTCTACAGCCGTGTTAGTGCAAGGAAAGGGCACTGTCGGGGGTGGGGCTGGCACTGTGCCCATCAAGGCTCCATCTGCAATGATGATCAGCAGTGAGAGGGGGTTGGATTGCACTTTTGTGCAACAGTGGCAGGGAAAGAGGCATACACACTGGTGAACTGGCAGGGCAAGGAAAGCAAAATCTGCCTGCAAAGACACAAACCAGTGAAGCAATGTAGGGACTTGCTATGGACTTGGGGAAGCTGCAGCATGGGGAGTGTGTGGGCTGGTGTGTGGCTATGAGGGCCACCCAGCTAGAGCTCTCAGGCAGTCAAGCACAGCACAGAAACTATGATGTGGGCCCCCAGAGCACCTGAGGTTGCCCTGCAAGCAGGCATGGCTAGACTAGGGCCTCAGGAGAGGCCAGCAGAACAAGGGGTGCTTGGGTTGGACCACCTTCAGCAGATGGGCAAGACCACCCTACAGAGTTCAGGACCAACAGTTCCCCTGGGGCTAAAGTCTCCTATGGGAGTACGTTGACCCTAGGGGGATGGGTATGCCTGGCCATACTCCACTACAGATGCTCCAGCTCCAAATACTCTGGGCTCCATATCAGCTGGCTTACTACTCTTACCACTTCTCTAGGCAGCCCTTCCTGCCAACTCAAGTGTCCATGGTGGTTGAGGGATCTCTTCCTGGTGAGGTTCTAGAGGACTATGACAAGAATGGGTTGCTTCTTGCCAGTTCAACTCACCCATGCCCTCAGAGCTGTTGGGGTCAAGGAAAGAGTCTGGTGCACAGTAGCCCCATATAGTGTTCTCAGGTTTCTCTCCACTTCAGCCCAGCTTCTGTGTCTTCCCTCCATCCACTTTTGTTGCCCTCCCTCTGAAGATCTGTTAGGAGTACACCAGTTGTCTTGGTTTCTTGGTAGCAGCTGTTCTACCTAGCTATGTCTAGTCAGTCATCTTGTTGGGCTAACATTATCTAGTTGGGAGAGCTGACTTTACAAAGATTAGTCAACTAATAAGAAAAAAGTTTGAAAATCATAACAAAAAAAAAAACCCACTAATATAATCAGTCTGGCCTAAATACTAGTGCTAACCCATAAACCTAATGTTGAAACTAAAGAAATCAAAAGACTATGTGGGAAACTGGTTGTCTTGAGTCCTATTGTAGCCATTGAGTAATCTTTTGTGACTGGGTTGATTTACAGCAGAGAATGCCCGACTCTACAAAAGGGAAGATGAGTATAATCTGAATAAAAGATTATGTTAGAATTATGACTGATAACATATTAGATTTCTATGAATTTATGTAATTTTTGAAACATTCAAATCAACATGTCCATAAATGTAACTAAAAGAAGATCTAGTATCACTTCTTTGACAATGTTTTTATACAGTTGACCAAATAAGCCTAGTCATCTCTAAAAAATGATAAATATGTCCTTTAAGGTTTTCCAGGAGCCCAACTGAAAAATTTCAAAGTTAATTTTATGTCAAAATGACTTAAAATAGGATTTGACCTGGGATACATTTGTCAAAGATGTTAAAAGTTTCAAAACAGAATCACAGGTCACTGAGAAATAACAGTTATTCATTTAACCAGTGTGAGAATCAAAAGACTTCAAAACCAGTAAGAAAGTCCTATGGATTTAAAAACCTTAACCCTTTTAAAATTCAATTTTTTTCTAAGTAATCAAAAGCCTAATAAGGGCAACTTAGAAAGCTATTTTGCTAAAACATAGAATCTCTGTTTCTTAGACTGGCTACAAAAAACATAAATAAAGCCCTCTTCAGTGTGATTGTTTCTCATTATGGGAAGCTCAGTCAGGTAAACTGGATGTTGAACCTGAAGAAAAGAGTACTTGGATGTAATGAAACACAGAAAGAATATGTCCAAGGTTATAAGTGTATACTATGTTACAGAGAAATATAAACAAGAAAACGAGTACCTTGAATAGGGAAATACATGGTTCTTAGTAACAGCACACTGTTACCACAATAACTTTTCTGGTTACATGGAACAATTCAGACATATCAAAAAAAAGCCAAGAGCACAAAATTAAGTTATACTGGAGAACAACACTGCTTTTCTAGGCTTTCAAGATAAATATTTCAATGTCAGGCCAAAACAGCAGTGTTGGAACCAGAAGAAGTCAAAGAAAAGAATGATTATCTCAGGCCTTCTCCAGGGGAGAAAACGCTGAAGGAAATGACATATTGACCTGCAAATCATGTGCAGCAAGAAACAGCAAAAGATGAACTTCCACAATATGAATTTGAGAAACTTAAAAAAAAACAACAACTTTACCTCAGGGAATGGAATTACCACTTTAAATCAAGAAAACAACATTTTTAATCCGAAACTAGAAAAATTAAATAGATCTCAAGGAGAAGATACTGGTTTAAAGGAACACATTATAAATTTAAAAATCAAAAGCCCTTACAGTTTCATTACAATGAGATCAGTACTTCAAGAAACCTTGTTGTTTTAAACATAGGGAACCAGACTCCAATTCTGTATCAGTGCCCATCCCCCCATCCCCCACCCAACAAGTTTAATTTTTAGAAAAATACACAATTTCTTTTTAATTCCAACCAAGTCAATCACACATAAAACTTCCTTTATTAGCTCATCCTTTATAAATCTCTTCAACTTTATTATTATTGACTTTTATTATTTTCCTAACCCCTACCTCTTAGTCCTATGTTTCCTTTTTTTTTTAAATTTGGTATAACCAATCATTTTATCTTATTTGACTATGATACAGACATTTATTTTGTATATATGATTTAACTTAACATAAATTTTAAGACTTTAAATTACATGAGTTTATTTATAAACATTTATTTCATTTACAGTTAATTTATTTTTTAACAACTATACCTAGATTTCTTATGAAAATTGAGATATTAGATGGAGCTGGTCATTGTTTCACATTCTTTTTTATTAAATAATTATATGGCCAGTTAGCATCGGGTGTTTACCTACATAAGAGCCATCAAGTTAAATACATTGGTATCTTGTAGATAACTCAGAAGATAAAATTTTCTTTTTTTCCTTAGAGGCAAAGGTTCACTCTGTTGCCCAGGCTATAGTGCAGTGGTGCAATCATAGCTCACTCTAGCCTTGAACTCCTGGGCTCAAGGGATCCTCCCTCCTCAGCCTTCAGAGTGGCTGGGATCATAAGCACATACCTGGCTAATTTTTAAATTTTTTGTGGGGATGGGGTCTTGTTATGTTGCCCAGGCCGGTCTCAAACTTTTGGGCTCAAGGGATCCTCCCACCTTGGCCTCCCAAAGTGTTAACAGGTGGGAGTCACTATTCAGCCACTGTTGTTTTTATTAAATAATATTAAATTAATCTTATTTATCAAAGAATTGCATAAACAAACATCACTTTGCTTTAGGCCTGGTTTATAGCTTCATGACCTTAAAGCATAGGCAAATATAAAACTGACTGGTGCTGATGCTCAGAAACTGATACCCTAAAACATGGTATTTGACATGCTGAACTAAAGAAACCTCAGGGTCTCTCTGACCTTTCCTTCACCCCCACCATCCCTCCAAAGATGAAGTTCCTTTATCTGCCTAAGGACCAGACCTACCAAGGAGAACAATTGTTTGTTCTCCTGTTATCTCACCTATTGCAGAAAAGACCAGGATGTGACCACACCCCAGGAGACACTGATAGAAGTACAAAGGCTGCCTCCAAGGATGATTTGAATTCCAAAAAGAACTATTTACAAGTTAATATCTGTTCCCCAATCCAATCATTCTCTCACCAATCATTCATTGCCCCTCAGTGGAATTTCTCTTCTCTCCCCTCCCATAATGTTTTACCAGAATCCAAGCCCCTCATTCTTTCTGTAATTTCAAGACTGGTATATAAGCCTCTATAATTCATGGAGAAGTCGGATCTTTATTCTGAAAGCATCTGTGTATACACATTAAATAAATGTGTATGCCTTTTCTCTTACTAATCAATCTGGCCCATGTCAGTGATTTTCCAGCAAATCTTTGGGGGGTGAGAGCCATGGCCCCCACACCAGTAAACAAAGGAAAAAATATATGTTGACAATTTAGAAGACGTTTTTAATTTTATTTTGTCAACAATTTTTAAACCAATTCATTTTTTCAAGATTTACTTAAGTCTCATGAACTAAAAAAAAATAGGTTAATTACTATATATTTTCTTTTTTTTTTTTTTTTTTTTTTACTATATATTTTCTGTGAGCACTCATCTATTTAAACCAATTAGATTAACATTTCTTAAGGGATTTTTGGCCTATTACACTGCATTTTATTATGTAGACATAACATACAACATAATACATCTACATATGTATAAATACATTTAAGCATATATATATATATACACACACACACACACACACACACACACACACAAATAAAGGTCTTCTAGCTTTTATTTTAGAATTTTAGTTGTGAGATAGTAAAACATATAAACTTGGTGGTTTATAGAAAACAGTTGGATCCAAATTATTTTTCTGGCAAATGAGATAAAGGCTATGAACCAAATTTTGGTGAAGCAGTTTCAGTTAGTTACCAGTGTAGGGGCCAAGGGGACTGAAGGTTTCCCTTGGCCCTCTGAAGGGTCACTGAAAAATCAACCTGCAAAAGGCAGATTAATTGGATAAAAGGCATACAAATGTGTTTAATGGGAGCCTGCAGAATGATGACCCAAAGATATAGAGGAAATTGTCTATTTTAATGCTTAGGCTTAACAAAATATAGACAGCCATGTAGAAATATGATTGGATGAAAACGGTATGATCTAATGCTAATAAAGTAAATGGAGAAACCCAATGAAAAAAGCCAAACTCTGTAAAATATTTAGAGGTTTATTCTGATCCAATATGAGTAACCATGGCCTGTGACATAGCATCAGGAGGTCCTGAGAACATGTGCCCAAGGTGTCTGGATTATAGGTTGCTTTTATACATTTTAGGAAGGCAGAAGGTACATCAAAAACATAAATCAATATATGTAAGGTATACATTGGTTTGACCTGAAAAGCCGGGATATTTTGGAGGAGGAAGGGTTTGGCCAGTAGTGGCAGAAGGAAGGTTGTGGAAGCCAAGGTTCTTGTTATGTATGTGAAGCCTGTAATATGCCTCAGAGAGAACAGATGGTATATGCATCTTAAAAGGTAAGTGACCTTAAAAGGTGTCAGACTCTTAGTTAACTCTCTCCAGGATCAGGGAAAGACCTGGAAAGGTAAGGGGATTCTCCACAGAATGCAAATTTCCCTCTCAAAAGAGCTTTGCACAGGATCATTCCAAAATATGTCAGAAGTATAATTTGGGGTAAAATCCTTTGATCTCCTTTAGGGCTGCTACCAGAGTCAGGTTGGAATTTGTTTTTGTTTGTTTGTTTGTTCATTTTGAAACAAGTTCTTATTTTGTTGCCCAGACTGGAGTGCAGCGGCTGTGATCTCGGCTCAATGCGGCCTTTGATCTCATGGGCTCAAGTGATCCTCCCACATCAGCCTCCCAAATAGCTGGGACTACAGGCGGCTGCCACAACACTGGACTAAATTTTTTAAAGTAGAGAGGAGTTCTCCCCATGTTGCCCAGGCTGATCTCTACCTCCTGGCCTCAACCTACTGATTCTCTGGGATTACAGGTGCCAGGCCAGACTCCACAGGTCTTTAAACTTCTATGCAGCAGGTAAGGGGAGAGATTATAGTGGCGCAAGAGCCGTACCAGCGGCCGCACACCACACACACCCTGGCCTCAGGTGGCTGGGGTCCACAAAACCAGGTGCTGCCGCGAAGGACTAGGCCGACAGAGTGCTGCTGTCAAAACCTGGGGCCAACAACTTCCATACACTCCCCAGAACGCTAGATAGGCAGTTGTGTGCGGTTTTCCCTGCATCCGCCGCCGGGCGCTCACGGGCAAGGTAAAAAGAAGCCAAGCCAGGCTCGGAGATGCGGAGGGCAGACGCAAGCGCATTTGGAAGAGGGACGGGCAGTGGGAGGTGCGGAGGGAGAAAGGAGCAGCACGTCTGCCGGCGTTCCGAGCCGCTGGCGCACCGATGGGGCGTCCCGCAAGGGTTCTGCCAGGATGATAGCAGTGCCTAAGGAGTGAGAGGCACCTGGGGCTACTGGAGCCAGACCCTCAATCCGCTCTAGCGGGAGGCGAGGAACAACGAAAGCCTCGTATTCCCATTTCTCTAGTGGCTAAATGACATTAAAGATTTCATGTGGTTACTTGCCGTATATCTTCAGCGAAATATCCGTTCATGTCTTTTGACTATTTTCTAATTGGATTTTAAAAATAATTGACTTTTGAGTTATTTACATATTCTAGATACTGGTTATATGCCAGATATGTGGCTTGTACATAGTTTCTCCTAGGTAAACCTTTTCAGTATCTTTACAGGGTCTTTCACAAAGCAAAACTTTTAAATTTATGAGGTCTAATTCATCAAAATTTCTTTTTTGCGTATGTCAATGTAAGAACCTTTTGCCTATGCAACAATCCTGCAAGTTCTGCACATGTACCCCAGAACTTAAAGTATATATTTTAAAAAAGAACCTTTTGCCTAGCCTTAAACAATAAAGATTTTTCGTTGTTTTTTAAAAGTTTTGTAATTTTACGCATTAGTTATATCTAGCCACTTAGCCACTTAATTTTTATTTAAGCATTTTTGTTTTTTGTTTTTTTCTGGGAGGGAGTTGTCTATGGATGTCCTATCTTTCCAGTATCATTTGTCGAAAAGATTATCTTTCCTGCATTAAACTGCTTTTGGACCTTTGTCAAAAATCAGTTGGACCGGTTTGTGTTGGCAAAGTTTAGCCTGAAGCTTATTCCAACAGGTGAGAAAAGTCCACAGTTTAATCATTCCTCCCCAACTTGTAATGCCGCCCTGAACTTGGACTCTTGCGTTGGCGTTGTCAAGCGGACCTCCCGCCGCTCTGCGTTGGGTCAGCCCCTCAGGGCTGTTTTCCCACCACGCATGGCGCAAGCGGAATCTATGCCTGTTACCCACACTCCCTGCGCCCCCGCACCCCGCTCCTGTGATCACGTCGGAATTTAAAGCCGCGGAGCAGAGAGAGCTTGGAGTGTCCAACTGGTTGCCGCGGCCATCTCTGCGAGCAGCGCGTTTGTCTTCTAGGCTGCTTAGTTCGTGCCTCCGAGAAAGGTAAGTCTTTCTTTCGCTTTTTTTAGGGATAGTTGATACTTGAAAACAACGTGTGCCAGACCCAGCAGATGCTGTCACACAGTAGTTTATGTGCGAGTTGTCCCTGCACCTGGCACCAGGTCTTTCTTGGTGAGATTATGCAAGAGTCATCCGCAGCCCCTGCGGGATCCTAGCGGGTCCCGCAACAGCAAATAGGATAGTCCCGTTGGGAAGCTAGCACTTTTTAAATACAGTAGAACGAGGTTTGGTAAGTGTACGCGCATAAAGGTTGACACAGTATCCACTATTACAGCTGCTTAGGTTGCTAGTGTTCGGGAAATAAGAGTGGAGTGATGGGATATGAAAGTAAGATTGAAATGGGCAAGGAGGGTAGCTACCACCGCAGCCACCAAAGAGAAACCCGACCCTGTAGGCGCATGGCGATGTCCACGAGCCAGGCTAGTGCCGCAGCAGCAGCGGCGGGACCTTGAGCGCGGCACGGCCGCGGAGTTTGGCCTCCCTCTGGTTCCTGGAAACTTTCACCTCCCCCTCAGCCTGAGGCTAGGTGGCTTGGGAAGCTGGAAGGAGTGTTGTGGGGAGAGGGGTCCACTGCCTGAGAATGAGAATTCTCTTCACATCTGGAAATTTCAATTATCGCGTGCGTCCTTTACCAATTTTTTCTTTCATTTTCTTTTTGATAGAGAAGGGGGTCTCCTTCTGTTACCCAGGCTGGTTTGAACTCCTAAGCTCAAGCAATCCTCCCACCTTGACCTCCCAAAGTGCTAGGATTACAGGCATAAGCCACTGTGCCCGGCTGCTTTACCAATTTTCTATGAATGAATTTGTACATACATCCCCTACAGTAGGAAGTAATGTAAAACGGAGTCATTAATAATGCACATTTCCTAATGTGGGATGTTGGTGGCAGACAGATACTTTGGTCTTTACTGAAACTCTTGTTAATACTAACATGGAATTTGTAATAGTTGTGGACAGTGCAGACAGGGCTAGGATTTCTGTGACTAGAGAACTATTAGTGCATGAGGCCCTACAGAAATTTGCACTGTTGACTTTTGCAAATAAGATGTGTAAGATTGCATCACTGTAGCAGAAATCTCCTAGTTTTTTAAGCTAAATTCTATTAAATTCATCATTGCTAAAGGAATTGTATCCAGGATTTGGATAACTGATATCATTACTTAATATTAGATGATATCCACTAACCACATCTCATAGACTGGAACAAAGTGCTAGATTTTACCTGAAAGCTGCAAAAATGAATGGTTTAGATATATGTATATATTTATTTTATATCAATTTCCAATATTTATTAACATCCCTGGTCCCCTTTAATCAAGAATATAAAATCATCTGCTTAAATTTTGCTACTTAAGTTTAGAACATTCTTAGAATCACACTATCTTAAAGAAGCCAGACTGGAATTAGAAGCAAGTAAGTCTGAGGGTATAACAACCAGCAACAACAAGTTGTCTTTTTGTTGTTGTTTTTTTTCAAATCAAAACTCTACTATGGGGTGGGCATGTTTTCTCACACCTGTAATCCCAACACTTTGGGACGCTGAGGTGGGAGGATCACTTGAACACAGGAACTTGGACAACACAGTGAAACCCTGTCTCTACAAAAAATGAAAAAATTAGCTGGGCGTAGTGTCAAATGCCTGTAGTCCCATCTACTTGTGAGGCTGAGGTGAGAGGATTGATTGATCCCAGAAGGTTAAGGCTGAAGTGAGCCATGATCACATTACTGCACTCCAGCCTGAGGGACAGAGCAAGACCCTGACTCAAAAACAAACAAAACCCACCAAAACTCTAATATGGACATGTTACTGTCATAGACCTTGCACATTCTAAAAAGGGTCCTTTTCCCTAGTACTGAGATAATATGTGTTCAACTGTGCAGCCAGCAAAAAAGCCTAGTTTACATAGGGAGTGTGCCACTCACAAAAAGCCTCTCTTCTATTTCTGGTATTGTACATGACGCGATCGTAGCTGTACCTGAAGAGAAGTATATTTTAATGACCATCGTCAACTAGAAACATGTATAAATTTCTATACTTAGTGCCAAAGGAATGACATTGCCTTACACTATTCCTACCTCTCTACAGAGGCCAGCTGTGTGGTCTGTCTGCAGAGTCCCTAGAACTTTTTTCCATCTGACCTAGGATGCTTCTGAAGCAGTCCCACTGGACAGCTGTCTGGTATTGAGGATACCTCTGAGAAAAAGTTCTCATAAACCTAATCTACCATGTTCCTGAACTCAAAAAGTTCATTGGCTGTTCAAATCCTGAAATTTCCTCTATTTGCATAAGGCTGAATTAAAAGTATTTTGTTAAAGGTAGTCCATTGCAAAAGAGAAACCACTGTTCTGTAGAAAAACTCATTCAATATTTAGAATCTTTTCTTAGCAGAGATGAGATCCTGAAAAGAAAGTGTCTCATATATACATATTTTTAACTCCACTATCATTGCGACTAAGGATTCACACACTGAGACCCTCCTCCCCCAGCTCATGGTGGCACAGGGTGACAGCATGCTCAGAGCAAAGGTGCCACCCATGCCTCTTCTGGGGCTGCGCTGACTGCAGGCACCTTCCCTACCCCACCCCCCACCATCAACTCCAAAACCCCCCTCCTTTCCCCTGTATTGATGATTCTGTAGCTTTAACCAGGGCAGCGGTGTCACTCTAAATGTCCCCTGGGCATTCAGCCCCGGAGTGTAGGGAATATTCCCCACCTATTTCTCTGTGACTGTTCAGTCTTCTTCAATTAAAATCTTCATTTTACAAGTGAGGAAATGAGAGTAAGTAATTGATTTTTGTGAATAAATTTCTTGTAGGGGCATAGTGAGAATTTAATAAAACAGTTTAAGGAAAGAAAACAAAAGGTACTATTTGTTGCGCTTTCTAGATGGTAAAAAGCAAACCACAGGTCTGTTGAATATGTATCACCTGCTGGTCCCTCGGTCCAACAGGCTGAACTGTGTGCTTGGGAATTTTTTTCTCGCTGTGTGCACCTCTTTGCGTCACCGGGTGGACTCTCTCTAGAGTCCTAGTGGACCAGCTGACCAGGCTGACGTGATCTGACAACATCGTAGGTTACCAATATAATCTCTCTCCCTCTCGCTTTCTTCCTAGGAGTCTCCTGCTGCCAGCTAAGTGTGAGAGAACTTGTGCGCGCAACTCCCCTCCGAATCCCAACGATGGGTAACGTTAGCTTTGGCTCCAAGGAACAACAGCAGCTGCTGGAGCGGTTGCGGCTCCTGCCCGCTATGCTCATCCTCCGCGCCTTCAAGCCCAACAGAAATATCAGAGATTACCGCGTCGTGGTAGTCGGCACCGCTGGTGTGGGGAAAAGCACGCTGCTGCAGAAGTGGGCGACCGGCAACTTCCGTCATGAATACCTGCCAACCATTGAAAATGCTTACTGCCAGTTGCTGGGCTGCAGCCACGGTGTGCTTTCCCTGCACATCACCGATAGCAAGAGTGGCGACGACAACCACAACCGCGCTCTGCAGCGCCACGTTATAGCCCGGGGCCACGCCTTCGTCCTGGTCTACTCAGTCACCAAGAAGGAAACCCTGGAAGAGCTGAAGTCCTTCTATGAGCTGATCTGCAAGATCAAAGGTAACAATCTGCATAAGTTCCCCATTGTGCTGGTGGGAAATAAAAGTGATGACACCCACCGCGAGGTGACCCTGAGTGATGGTGTCACCTGTGCGCTGGAGTGGAATTGCGCCTTCATGGAGATCTCGGCCAAGGCAGATGTGAATGTGCAGGAGCTGTTCCACATGCTGCTGGATTACCAGAACCAGCCCGACCCCGACCTCCAGGAGCCCGAGAAGAAGTCCCAGACGCCCAAGACCATTGAGAAGATGCTTGACAAGTGCGTGATCATGTGAGCCCTGGGCCTTAGGAGCCAGCCCTTCCTACCCTGTAGTGTGTAGAAAATGTGGACTGATTTCATTGTGTTACCTGTACATGGTTGATTTTGTGCTGTTTAGACTGTAACAATCATATTGTCAATAAATGTACCTTGTAAGTTAATAACTTTACCTTTTCCCAGGCCAGATAATTCAAATTGTTAAAACATTGGCATTTGAAGAGGAGAACAAAAAGGAACATGATGGATTCAAAGTAAGGCCTTTAATAATAAATGTAATAAGAGAAAATGTTTTGAAAAGAACAAAATGTCAAAATGAATAGAAAGAGAAATTGGAAGGTGTCCTTTTGGTAACCCTATTATTGTGTATCACTTTAAAACATTCCATATCCTGTAAGTGTTTAATCGTGTCTTTTAATTGTGTAATTGAGAAATGTGTTTTTACAACAAAAGCTTTTGATAAAGTGCTTGAAGACATGTATTCTAAACAAAAAAAAAATGAATATGCTATAGCTGATCATTAGGGGTGTGGGAGCAGAGAAAACTGTGAAAGTGGAACTTTCTCACTAAAGATGTTAGTAGTTTCCCATGTCGTTTAAAAATGTTTGAGTATTCCGCTAGCAATTTTTAAAAGTGTAACAGCTTCTTGACTTAATAAAGCTTTTCCTGCATGCAATCAGCTGTACAAATTTGTCTCATTAAAAAACAAAACATTGCCCATTATATTAAAATTTAAACCATGTCTGTTAAAGGTTTCCAATAAGAACATCACACATGGATGTCCCTGCCATGTTGAAATTATCCAATGTGGGAGGGAGGTGTTTCAGGGAGGTCCCCGAAATGCAGAGCGGTTTTGCACCTTTCCTGGACTGACATCCAGAAGAACTCCAGGCATCTTTGAGGAAGATGGTCACAGTGTTGCTGTCTCAGAGGAAGCAGGTGCAAAGCAAATCTCTGCCCTCCGTGGCCTGAAATACTGGATATAGGCAATAGGGAGCAGGATGAAAGATAAAAGGAGAAATGATATTTAAGAGACTCCCCCATAAGGGAGTTTTTAGAGATTAATTTTATATTTGAACATAATTTTTGAGTGAGGGAATAAATACACATATCCTTGCTTTTGAGAGTTCTTTCAACTTGGGAGAGGTGCAGAGGAGAGGCTCTTAATCTAGTGATTTTTTTTTTTTTTTTTTTTTTTGCTGCAAAATACAATTGAGAAAATATCTATTGAACAATGTATGTGTTTCTAGAGGAGAAGCACATTGTTGAGAAGGAATCATAAACACGATTTCATGGTATAATAGACAGTTTCAAGGCTGGAAAATCCATTCAGTGGTTCCTTTTAAAATAGTTATTTAAAATTTTCCCTATTCATTTTCATAGCAATTATTCTCAACCACTTGGAAAATACCCAAGTGATTCTACCATATAGCTTTTTATAAATTCCATTCTTCAAAAAAAAAAAAAAAAAAAAATTCTTCGCTGAAATTCCTAATGGAGTAAATCCACTTCCAAAAGAAAATACTCTACCTTGGTTATTCTCCAAGATAATTCTCCTTGAAAATGTAATGCATTTATTGTTGTTCCTCATAGGTGAGCAAAGAGATTATTAAAATTCAAGTGGCAAATACTAACCTTGAGAAAGGGAAGAACAAGTTTTTAAATGTTACAGGTAATAAAGAATTTTTGTTCCTGGGGTAACATCTTTATACAAGTAGGTAGTTACCTTACTGTAGAGAATAATTTTATTTTCCATTAAAACTTGTGCTACATTAAATAGCAAGGTTTTACCCCTCTACTTCTGTCTTTGCCCAAATAGGAAAAATATCATCAAGATAATTACATTTTTAAGACGATCTAATTACAACACTTTTTTCTTCCCAGTAACCGACAAAATATATCAAAGGTCTCTTATGTTTCAGTTCAAACCAAATAACATACATTAACTTTATAGTTCTGTGACTTCAAAATACCTTTGCTCTTGCTACTTCTGAGCCCCAAACACTTAACAACAGGTTGAATTCCAGCCAGGGAATCAAGATACTTTTGGATCATACTTAGATAGACTATAATTTGTTTCTTCCCAGGATGCTTAAGAAACAGTTTCATTTCCATGACCAGCAGGGGCTTCAGGAAGCACCCTACCACAGCGTTCTTGAAAATGAAGCCTGAATTTTCTCATGGCTGGGGTGGTCTCCATGTTAAATTCGGTCACTGGCACTCCCCTGGCAGACTTCGGGTGGGCAAACACAGCGGTTGGTTACACCACAGGGGGAATGCATGCCACTAGACATAGTCACAAGGGTGAGCTCTCTGTCAGCCTCCTCCGGAATGGCAGGATCCAGGTTTTCGCCTAACCACAGGGCTGAAGTTGCAGCACCCCCTGCTCTCTGCCTCTTAACACCGGGGAAGTTTCTCAACTGGGATTCTGGCATCTTGCGTTCCAGGTACTGGAGCACCTACTCATAATAAAGGTGGACAAACCGGACTCTTGTAATTCTCACACACCACTCCACAAAAGGTACATGGAGTTTAACATAAGCTAGGATGGATTTCTAGAAGGTTCTTGGTGCCAGCCTGGGGTGCCACCCATGGATGTTCTGTCATGATCATGCCCCAGTGGCCCTGTGTGCCTAGCAGGGCCTCACATTTGGTGGTGGCGAGGTGCGGGGCTGGGCTCCCGCCCTGTCTGACCTCTCACTCACACTGGGGAGTTCCCGCACCTGGGAGGGCGTGGGCAGAGGCCCGGGGAGCCACCAGGGCCTGAGCTGACATTTTCCCCAATGACCTCCGGCTCCTCTGAAGGGTGGAACCCCACTTACCGCACTAACACTAGCCCCTGAAATGAAGACTGTGCGCTTTGCTTCTGCAAAAAAACTTCCGAAAATCTGCCATACTTGAACTGGGAGGAGGCATTTTCAGGCTATCTTGAATTATGTGGCGCCTGGAGGCTTCAGGCCACAGCAGCTGAGAAATTAGAGGGCTTGGGACAATGGGGAGAGGTTAGCAGGTTTTCTTGTAGTTCTGATTCATTCAGTCGTTTATTTAGATATCTGAAGTTCAAATGTCTTCTCCCAGTTTGTAGGTAGTGTTTTCATTCTTTAACTGGGTCTTTCACAGAAGTTTTGAATTTGATAAAGTCCAATTTATCAAATTTTTCTTTAAGAATGATGCTTTTGGTGTCAAGTCTAAGAAGTTTTCACCTAGGTTTTTAAGATTTTCTCCTATTGTTTGTTAAGTTTTATACTTTATGCTTTATATTGAAGTGCATTATCTATGTTAAGTTAATTTTATATAAGGTGTGAGGTTTAGGTTGGGTTGTTTTTAAGTTTTTTTGCCTATGGATGTTTAATTGTTCCCAAACTATTTGCTGAAAAGACTATTGTATTAGTCCCTTCTTGGACAGCAATAAAGAACTACATGAGACTGGGTAGTTTATAAAGAGGTTCAATTAACTCACAGTTCTGTAGACTGTATAGGACACATAGCTGGGTGGCCTCAGGAAACTTACAATCATGGCAGAAGGCAAAGGGAAAGCAGGCACATCTTCATATGGTGACAGATACAGAGATAAAGGGGAAGGAGCCACACACTTTTAAACCTTCAGATCTCATGAGAACTCCTAACTATCATGAGAATAGCCAGAAGGAAATCTGCACCCATGATCCAATTATCTCCTACCAAGTCCTTCCCTCAGCACGGGGAATTATAATTCAACATGAGATTTAAATCTCATCTTGAATTTTTTTTATTAGGGTACATGTGCACATCCTGCATGCTGCAGGATTGTTGCATAGCTACATACATGCCCTGGTGATTTGCTGTCTCCATCCTCCTCTTCCCCATCACCTACATCAGGCATTTCTCCTGGTGTTATCCCTCCCCAACCTCCTTACCCGCTGATGTCCCTCCTCTCCTCTCTCTTCCACCCCACCACCTACCCCAATGTGTGTTGTTCCCCTTCCCTCTGCCCAAATGTTCTCGTTGTTCGTCACCCACCTATAAGTGAAAACATGCGGTGTTTGGTTTTCTGTTCCTGTGTCAGTTTGTTGAGAATGATGGTTTCTAGATTCATCCATGTCTCTACAAAGGGCACGAACTCATCATTTTTTATGGTTGCATAGTACTCCATGGTGTATAGGTGCCACATTTTCTTTGTCCAGTCTATCACTGATGGGCATTTGGGTTGGTTCCAGATCTTTGCTATTATAAACAGCATCACAATGAACATATTTGTGCATGTGTCTTTATAATAGAACAATTTATAATTCTTTGGGTATATACCCAGTAATAGGATTGCTGGGTCAAATGGAATGTCTGTTTCTAGATCCTTGAGGAATCGTCACACTGTCCTCCATAATGGTTGAACTAATTTACACTCCTGCCAACAGTGTAAAAGTGTTCCTTTTTCTCCACAACTTCTCCAGCATCTGTTGCCTCCAGATTTTTTAATGATCACCATTCTAAGTGGCATGAGATGTATCTCAATGTGGTTCTGATTTGCATTTCTCTAATGACCAGTGATGATGAGCTTCTTTTCATATGTTTGTTGGATGCATAAATGTCTTCTTTTGAAAAATGTCTATTCATCTCCTTCACCCACTTTTGAATGAGTTTGTTTTTTTCTTGTAAATCTGCTTCAGGTGTTAGTAGATTCTGGATATTAGCCCTTTGTCAGATGGGTAGATTGCAAAAATTTTTTCCCATTCTGTTGGTTGCTGGTTCACTCTCATGATTGTTTCTTTTGCTGTGCAGAAGCTCTTAAGTTTAATTAGATCCCATTTGTCTATTTTGGCTTTTGTTGCCACTGCTTTTGGTGTTTTAGTCATGAAGTCCTTGCCTACACCAATGTCCTGAATGGTGTTGCCTAGGTTTTCTTCTAGGGTTTTTATGGTGTTAGTTCTTATGTTTAAATCTTTAATCCATCTGGAGTTAATTTTTGTATAAGATGTAAGGAAGGGGTCCAGTTTCATCTTCCTGCATATGGCTAGCCAGTTTTCCCAACACCATTTATTAAACAGGGAATCCTTTCCTCATTGCTTGTTTTTGTCAGGTTTGTCAAAGATCAGATGGTTGTAGATGTGTGGAAATGCTTCCAAGGCTTCTGTTCTGTTCCATTGGTCTATATCTGTTTTGGTACCAGTACCATGCTGTTTTGATTACTGTAGCCGTGTGGTATAGTTCGAAGTCAGGTAGCATGATGCCGCTAGCTTTATTCTTTTTGCTTGGGATTGTCTTGGCTATGCAGGCTCTCTTTTGGCTCCATATGAAGTTTAAAGAGGCTTTTTCTCCAGTTCTTTGAAGAAGGTCAATGGTAGCTTGACGGGGATAGCACTGAATCTATAAATTACTTTGGGCAGTATGGTCGTTTTCACAATATTGGTTCTTCCTAACTGTGAGCATGGAATGTTTTTCCATCCGTTTGTATCCTCTCTTATTTCCTTGATCAGTGGTTTGTAGTTCCCCTTGAAGAGGTCCTTTACATCCTTGTTAGTTGTATTCCTAGGTATTTTATTCTCTTTGTAGCAATTATAAATGGGAGTTTGCTCATAATTTGGCTCTCTGTTGGTCTATTGTTGGTGTATAGGAATGCTTGGGATTTCTGCACGTTGATTTTATATCCTGAGAATTTGCTGAAGTTGCTTATCAGCTTAAGGAGGTTTTGGGCTGAGACAA